TTTCTTTTGCTGACTAAAGCCCCTTGACCAAGAAATAAGCTTAAAATACAAGTCAGTGTGTTGGTTTGACCACTGTCATCTGAGAGCCAGACTGTGACCAGTCCCTCAGGAGTGCAGACCCAGTCCCTCTGCTTAAAGGAGAAACAACATCCCAGTTAGGGAAATAGAATAAACATATTCTCAGATGGGGGCCCCTGGTGGCTCAGTAAGTTAACTGTCAGGCTCTTGATTTCGGCTCAGGTCATGACCTCATGGTTTGTGAGCCTGAAATTGGGCTCCACTCTGGCAGTGTGAAGCCTGCTTGGGATTCTCTCTCTCTGCCCCCACCTCACTTGTGCTCTCTCTCTCTCTCTCTCAAAATAAATAAATAAACTTAAAAAAATTTTTTTTAAATATTTTAAAAATATTCTCAGATGATTAACTTTAGCTTTTTTTTTTTTTTTTTTTTTCCAGTTCAAGCACCTCTAAATTCTAATGCTGACAAAGGAGAATGGAGTGGTGGTTTCACATATCGTTTAATTCTGGGGCACCTGGGTGGCTCAGTAGGTTAAAAGACCAACTGTTGATTTCGGCTGAGGTCATGATCTCAAGCTTCTTGAGCTCAAGCCTGCCATCGGGCTCTGCGCTGATGGTGCAGAGCCTGCCTGGGTTTCTCTCCCTCTCCCTGTCTCTCTGCCCCTCCCCAGCTCACACTCACATGTTCTGGCTCTCAAAATAAATAAATAAACTTAAAAAAAAAAGAGAAATATCATTTGATTCTAAGTCATGTTCTCATCAGGTTTATGTCAAAAGTGGTGACGATCTTCCAAGGCTGTGTCTGAAGGACAATTACACTGGTGGCACGGTGTTGCACGAAATACTCCTCTGGGCCCGTCCATATAATTACCAGGCTGTGCTGGATAAGAGAACCTCAGGATTTCCAGGCTCAGAGTACCAGGATACCCAGAGAAATGGGAGTGAGTCAAGGACATCTGCAAACACAGATAGCATTCCTAACCAGGTCCTGATTATGAACAATTCCATGCCTATAAGAACCAGATGCCAGAACACTTGGGAAGGGCTGAAGGAACAGGGAGACCATTATCTGTGGCTTCCTGTGATTGACATTTATCTACATGACTACAGAGGTCTGTTTCTTCTTGTTGCCTTGAGTTGAAAAATCGAAGTGAAATGTTAAAACTGCCATGGTACTTTGTGCCCCTTTGCAGTGAGGAAAATTTGTAACTCCAATCTCTACCTCCCAAGCTTACTTGTGCTTTCTCTTAGATACTAAATATCTATCATCTAAGTCAATACATAAACTCTACTGCATCCAAAGATTGATCACATACTTATATATGACTTCCAATTTGCTTGCTACTAATACTTCTTAACAACAAGGCCCAAGATTTCCCCATATTACTCCTACTGTGCGGTCATATTTTGTGGGCAGAGTTTTAAAATTGGGGGTGACACACTCAATTCCATGTGACACGCCCCAGATGAACTTCAGGGAAAAGCCCAAGCTAGGGAACCAGAGGTCACCTTTCTATTATATTCATCAACAATGACATGGGATCTGACCATTTCTCCCTGAAACTCTCTCCTTAATCTAGACCTTCCCTAGATTCCCAAAAGGTTCCCCCATAGGGCAGCATCTTATCTTTAGAGAGAAATACAATACCCCAGTTCTAATTTTGTCTTGGCAGGCCTTCCCTTTCTTTCTCTGGCAGAAAATGAATGATCTAGTTCCTGGCCTAAGTAATACAAGCAGAAGTCCAGGATCTGGAAGAAAGGTCAAATACACTTAGGCAGTTCAGGAGAAGGAAAATTGGTCTCCAGGTTAGAGAGCCACCCTCACGCACAATGAAGGGTACAGCCCTAAAGGAACTCTGGATCTTCTCCCTGGAAGAGTGACCCTGTGGTTGGTAGAGGAATTGAGTAGACAGTGCAGAGCAAGCCCGAGGAGCAGCATGTGCACAGACTTCCCTTCTACACGCCCAGCACTTCGCAGCCATGACAAGACCCGCTGCTCCTAAGGGAGGCAGCCAGTCAGTCTCATTCAAAACTTCTGCACCGGCCAGGGAGCCACGACTGGAATGGAGGTGCCGGTGACTGGCCAGGGAGGTGGCCTGACCCCGAGACCGGTGGCCAACAAGGGAGCTCCTCAGTCCTCCTCCCAGGCAATCCCACGTGCCTCTCTTGCTGGGAAGCCAATGGCTGGCACCAGCCCCCCTTGTGCTCCCCTCTTCCCAGAGGAAGGATCCTGGGACAGGATTCCGGGAGGCCTGGCTGTGGAAGGAGGCTGGGAGGAATGCATGGCCTGCCTGGTCCTGGGCTTGCTCTCATGGTCAGCCTCCCACAGGCCCAGAAAGACAGGGGGCATGAGGGACAGGGCAGGGAGGTCAGAGCGTCTCAGGGACCCAGGATTCTGGGCAGGGACTTAGACTCTGGGCTCTAGCATCACACTTCTGAAAGTGCTGTGACTCCTGGCTGCTGTGACCAGAGGCAAGCGACTTAACCTCCCCTTATCTCAGCTGAACGCACAAGGCGCCTCATGGAGTCGCAGTAAAGATGACATAAAATGATCCTTGCGAAGTGGCTTGCAGTAATAATGCAACACCTGTTGGTTACTCGTGCTGCACACACCAGTCCTCTGGCCTGTGTCTGCGTGAAAGCGAAAGCGTGCGCTCTCTGCCTTTTTCCTTGAAGGAGAACCCCGAATCACAACCTGGCTCAAGTCTCACCAAAACATCCCAGAGGCATAGAGGCCTGTGCGCAGCACAGAGGGATGGGATTCC